TCCCCACTACCCCTTCCGGGTGTGTGCAAACATTCTTCCGTAAACATCATGACTTATTTCCGGTATGACAGCTGCTCTAGCGCCTCCTCCAACAGCTGTCTTGGCGTTTATTTGTGCACCATAGCAATTTTCCATACGGCTCCATTGTATATATGACGTTCACAAATATATGTTTGCAGTTCTATTGTGGATTTGGCATTGGTGAATGTATGTTTGCAGCTCTACTGTGTATATGACATTGGTAAATATATATTTGCTGGTAAAAGCCCAAAGTCAGCATACATTGGGGGCCTAATTTATTACTGTTAAGAGCATCGTAGAAAAAGAATAGCTAGCTGCACATTGAACACGACCTATTCATTGGTACATAACATGGTCTTGTGGTGCAATAGGGGGCTTTTGGTTTGGACATACTTGCATATGTGCACTCTAACAAGGAAGATGTGGGCGTATTATATAGCTAGCAAAAATAAGTGTAAGGGGTGCTAGTACATTCAACTAGAACATGAAATAATCCCCAAAAAATACTTAGTCCAAATGTTAATTCATGAAATACACATTCCACATTTATTTGGACAGCAACAAGTAGGTACATTCAATTTCTTGGTGAAAAAAAAAAAAAAGCAGGATTGATGTTGCTAAAATAGAACGGTCCTGCTCATAAGAGTTTACAATCTAAAAGATTATACTTCTAATGAACTGTGGTTTCACAGGTTACAGCAGGAAACAAAAAGTTAATATGAAGCATGTAGTAGGCTAATCTATCCACAAAACAGGCTGCAGATCAAAATATCAATATAAAAATACATAGGTGACAAAATAAAACACCTCCCACCTCCCCAAATCCCCCACACATACATTTCTCATCAGGTTTGTCTGAAAACTGCATTTCAGTGTAAATAAAGCAAATTTGGAAGAGCAGAGCAATTGACATGTGTTAGGATTACAATGCAAATATAATAAACACACAATCAGTGTACAATAACACACCTAAGAAGGAAAAAAATGCAAAACATCTACAGCCCACAATAAAACACAGCGTGAGTGTGGCCTGGGGCAGTTCACCACATTATCTCTTCCTCCCCAAACAAGGACTTGCAGAAAATAATGTGGACTGTACAAGGCGAAAATTACCAACTACTGCAAATTTTTTATATAACATAGGCCACACCCACCACTGTCATTCATTTGGTCAGAGAAAGTGTCTGCACCTGATTAATTCTCTTCCCACCTGCGTTAACCCTTGGTATACAGGCCCCACAAATCAGTCAGAAAGAAAGCCACAGTGAAGTGTACCTGTGCAGCGTACAACAGAACATTGGACAGGGATGTGAAAGGGAACCCTATTGGCAATATTTCTTGGCCCTATGGGCACAATTCACTCCAGATTATCGCATGAGTTAAGGCAGTCACATGACCACATCTCGCATGCAATACTGAAAATGTAAATTTACTTTTGCTAGTATGAGGGATTTCCCATAAATTGGAAAAACACTCAGGAAATCAAACATAAAAGGCCTTACACCTCGGTCACATCAAAGCTGATTTAGAAATTGTGCGACGTACAGTGAAGATGCCGATTTCCTTGCGATTTGCAAGACATCTGACATAGATATCTATGCAAATCGCCACAAAAGTAGTACATGTACTACTTTAGAAATCAGTGTCGGAAACGCACCCATGTGACTGCTCTAATAGCAGACAATAGGGTGCGACTTGGCATACGATTTGAAAGTGGCATGTCATGCAAATCACATGCCAAGTCGCACTCAATGTGACCGCTATTAGAGCGTTCATATTAGTGTGGTTCAAACTTGGTTGGCGCTGCAACAATTTCTAAAGTAATGAATACACTACTTTTCATGCGATTTGCAGAGAGATCTGTGTCAGATGTCTTGCAAATCACACTTTAAATCAGCATGTCCCCCGACTTTGAAATCATGTGACTTCACTGTAAGTCATATGATGTGACTGTAGTGTAAGTCACACCACTTCAAAATCCGTTTTGATGTGACCCCCAATCACATCGGGTGCAATTTGGCATGCGATTTGCAAGTTGCAGGGCATGCAAATTGCATGCCAAGTCGCATCCAGGGTGCACAATTTCAGGTGCGATTTGGGAATTGAAATTGTACTTGATATCAGATCTAATGAATGTGGATGTGAGTGTCTTAACGTTATCGATTTGCTGCAGCACAATTTCAAAAGTAGTTCTTGTCTAACTTTTTCAGCATTTTGTAGCGATTTCACATATAGACTACAATAGAAATCACAATGCAAAAACACAATTGAAAACTCAATGACATCCACGTGACCCCGCCCCATGTGACATCATTGATCACATGCGTGATATCCCCGGATGGCCCCGCCCCTTACACATTTAAGTACTGTCACCCTGGCTCACTGCATAAGGCTGGCAGCCTCCGTCGGAAGCGGAACGTTTTTTTTTTTTTTCTTTTTTCGGGTCGCCGGAGCGTGACACCGTGATTGACTTTGGAGACATTGTTTTTATTAAAGGACTTGTCAAAGACCATGTCACGATATAAGGTCAGGTTCGGAGACCAGTTGCTATAGCAGTAAAAGATAAAAATAAACATAAAATTAGTGAAGCGCTTGTATCTCATGAATACAATCATGTGTCTCCATAAAGTATAATAGTAAATCAAAGTGACCACGATATATATTAAAAATATGTGAACTCCCTCTAGTGGATAGAAAAAATAATGTCAACGGAAATGACTATAATAGCTAAATATCATACATTAAGAACCTAAATATGTAGTGCATAAATCAGATATAAACAAAGTATATATATACATGAAAACAGAATAATTGGCCACATACAATGGTGTCTAAATCAAACATAACTAATATATGCCATAAGTGAAAAAGACAATATCAAAGGTGAAAAAATATTCCATGCATGTGACTGTGCTTTAAGCTGGAACACACACGTGATCTCCACTTCTAAGTGCAAGTACTCTCCTTCAAATGGCAGCAATGCCTGCTCACCTCCCTTCCTCGACCCACACAGGGCCTCAAAGCAGTTACCACCTCAGTGGTGTATTCCTCTGGCAGACTCCTTAATCCTCCTCCTCTCTTATGCAACTCATAAAAAGACAAGAAAGCCTTCCATAGTGTAGTAAGTTTTAATAGGCAAAGTAAAAAGTGACAAAGTAAACCACTCACATGCTCCTTTCCATAAACAAGCGTTTTTCCCAGCCTGTGGGTAGATATGCATGCACCTGGGGGAATCCAATATGGCCACTGCGTCCGGACATACGTCACCAGGAAGTAGACAAACCGACGCGTTGCGTCACGTGCGTCGTGACTTCATCAGGGTCGAAGTCACGACCCTGATGACCCCTGATGAAGTCACGACGCACGTGACGCAACGCGTCGGTTTGTCTACTTCCTGGTGACGTATGTCCGGACGCAGTGGCCATATTGGATTCCCCCAGGTGCATGCATATCTACCCACAGGCTGGGAAAAACGCTTGTTTATGGAAAGGAGCATGTGAGTGGTTTACTTTGTCACTTTTTACTTTGCCTATTAAAACTTACTACACTATGGAAGGCTTTCTTGTCTTTTTATGAGTTGCATAAGAGAGGAGGAGGATTAAGGAGTCTGCCAGAGGAATACACCACTGAGGTGGTAACTGCTTTGAGGCCCTGTGTGGGTCGAGGAAGGGAGGTGAGCAGGCATTGCTGCCATTTGAAGGAGAGTACTTGCACTTAGAAGTGGAGATCACGTGTGTGTTCCAGCTTAAAGCACAGTCACATGCATGGAATATTTTTTCACCTTTGATATTGTCTTTCACTTATGGCATATATTAGTTATGTTTGATTTAGACACCATTGTATGTGGCCAATTATTCTGTTTTCATGTATATATACTTTGTTTAGTATATCTGATTTATGCACTACATATTTAGGTTCTTAATGTGTGATATTTAGCTATTATAGTCATTTCGGTTGACATTTTTTTTCTATCCACTAGAGGGAGTTCACATATTTTTAATATATATCGTGGTCACTTTGATTTACTATTATACTTTATGGAGACACATGATTGTATTCATGAGATACAAGCGCTTCACTAATTTTATGTTTATTTCTTGCACTTATTGGTATTAGTTAAAGTGACAGCAGCTGTATTGTGTCAGTTATTCCCATGAGCGCAGGAGGATCCCATACCATATAGCAGTAAAAGGCTTACCTCAAACCAGCAGGATAGGTACATCAGCGGATCCCCCTGGGAATGACGCAGGCTCACCTGAGGTGCGGGGTCTAAGTATTAACCGGTATTCACCAGAGCTCCTAATGGTGGAGATGGATTGGGCTGGGTGTTAATACCAGGTTGCAGATCTCAGGATCACCCCACCAGGGAATGAACAGACTGGGAACCAATAGCGGATCAACAGGTTAGGGATCAGACGAAAGCAGAGTCAGTCACAAGCCAAGGGTCGGTCACAAATGGTAGCAGATCAATCGTAGTACGTTAGGATGAGACGAAATTGTGGTCAGGAACAAGCCAAAGGTCAGTAGTGGAGGTATAGACAGCAGCAGGAACAGTAGCGAGATATTGGCTGGAAAGGCACAATAATCTGGCAAGGAGGAAGTGCATGGACATGGCTTTTATAAGGAAGTTCATGGGAGGAGCAAGGAGTTCAAGGTTCAAGAGTAATCAAGGCACAAGGCAGGTGTCAGGGACCGCCGCGGCGCCTTCCCTGGCGCACTAGCGGCAGTCCGCGCCGGGATACAAGCACCAGGTCCCGGCGGGCCGCGGCTGACAGGAATTCGCGCATGCGCAGTGGGAGCCGCGGGCGCACCCTGGGTGGCCAATGACAGCCAGGGGCGCGTCCTGGGCAGCTAATGACAGTGCAGGGCGCGATATTTAAAGGATGCCCTGCACTGTCACAGATTGCCGCAAGGTCTATCTGTGATCCTGAATTCCTGAACCTGTGATATTGACCCCGATTGCCCTGACTACGCTGCCTTCTCCTGTGTTTGACCCGGATTGCCCTGACTACTCTGCCTTCTCCTCTCCTGACCCCCGGCTTGTTTGACCTATCTGCAGACTGACTTATCCTGCTGACCCTGTGTGTGACCTGACTACTCTCCGCCTGCCGATTCTGTACCTCGCTTACCCCACAGGACCACTGCTATTGATCCATCCTGCTAGGTCCTGCCGGCCTCCTCACATCTGGCTCTCCCGGTACCTAAACATCCCCGGAGGTTCCCTCTGCCACTGGTGGGCCTGCTCAGAGGTCGTGACCTGGTCCTGGTCTGTTACAAGTCCATCCCCACCATCCATCAGGGGCCCTGGTGAAAGCACAGACCGGGACTTAGACTCCACGCTTTGGGTAGGTCTGTCAAGTGGGCAGCCAGAGGCACCACCTGGCAGAGCATAACAGTACCTTGCGGCCATGACAGAGACAGGAAGAGGACCGGCATCCCTAGAGGATATATGCCAGCACCTGGCAACTCTGACCCAGGCCGTCCAGAATTTTCACAGCCGCTGCACCCGTCTTGAGGACCGCATGGAGACATTAGCCACCCTGACTTCCCCTGCTCAGAGTCCCCCAACTGCGGCACCTACTGGGGAATCACCCGCTACCCCAGCATCCGGAGCAGTTACCACACCCCTAGCTCCCGAACCCCACGTTCCCCTGCCGGAACGCTTCTGTGGAGACTGAAGCCGCTTCCGGGCCTTCCGGAACGCGTGCACCTTGTCTTTTGATTTACAGTCCCGCACGTTCACCACCGAGACAGTCAAAGTGGGGTTTATAGTCTCTCTCCTTCAGGATGAGCCCCAGGACTGGGCTCACCGTCTGATGGAGAATCACGGCCCCCATCTTGATTCCGTGACTGAGTTTTTTCAGGCCATGGCTGTTTTATATGACGACCCTCAGCGGGCTGCTTCCGCAGAGGCTACCCTATTCGCTTTACGGCAAGGCCGCCGGGCAGCCGAAGAATATACGTCCGACTTTAGGCGCTGGATGGGAGATACCAGATGGAACGATGCGGCATTATGTCACCAGTTCCGCATCAGGCTGTCTGAGTCGCTGAAAGATGAGTTAGCACGAGTAGGCCTACCTGACTCCCTTAAGAAACTGATAGAGTTGGCCATGCAAACTGACCGCAGACTGAGGGAACGCCGGCTGGAAAGGAGCAGCCAGGGTCAAAGGGTGGCATGGATTCCACCGAGAGAAGCAGCTCCAGCCCCAGGGAACCATACCCGGAGCACAGAACCAGGGGACACCTCGGAACCCATGCAACTGGGACTGGCCCGTTCCACTTTATCGGCCGAGGAACGCCAGAGGAGACGATCGCAGAACCTATGTCTGTACTGCGGGGAAGCTGGTCACCAGGTGCGCTCCTGTCCTGCAAAAATGAGTAAGTCCGCTTCCAGTTTGTTTCCTTTACCTGCAGAAAGGGGTGATCAATCTAGTTACCTGGCAATACCTGTGTCTTTACAGCTCCCCGGAAGAACCTTGTCGGTGTCCGCAATCATTGATTCGGGAGCATGTAGTTGTTTCATCGATCTTACTTTTGCTCACCGGCAAAAGATCCCTCTCCAGACCAAAGAAAGGGGGTTTAACATCTTCTTGGCAGACGGGTCTAGCATAAAATCAGGGGTGGTGGATCAGGAGACACTTCCTATTTTTACCACGATGGCAGACCATCACCAAGAGTCTCTCCATCTGGATGCCATCGCATTCCCCCTTTTTCCAATCATTCTGGGGCTCCCTTGGCTGCGGGCCCATAACCCCCAGGTTGATCGGGAGAAGGGTACAGTTCAATTTCAGTCATCATACAGTCTAAGTCACTGCCACGTCACAGGGTCCGTGGCTCCCCAGTTTCTTCTGTGCATGGATGGCGATACAGATCTGTCTCAGGTTATTCCTCCGGCCTACCACGACTTCCTAGACGTATTCAGTAAATGAGGGGCAGACATTCTTCCCCCGCACCGTTCATACGATTGCCCCATAGACCTCCTACCCGGGTCTGAAATCTCGTTCGGTCGTATTTTCCCTTTATCTGAACTGAGTCAGGAGTTCTGAGGGAGTATATAGATGAAAATCTTCGGAAGGGATTTATTCGCCCGTCCACGTCCCCAGCCGCGGCTGGGTTGTTCTATGTTGAAAAAAAAGACAAATCGTTACGGCCCTGCTTAGACTACCGTGATCTGAATAAGATCACGGTAAAAAAAAAAATCAGAGAGGGAGATGAATGGAAAACGGCTTTCCGTACGAGATTCGGTCATTTTGAGTATTTGGTGATGCCGTTCGGGCTCTGTAACGCTCCGGCCTCCTTCCAACATTTTTATCAATGACGTTTTTCGTGATTTCCTCGATATCTTCGTGGTTGTCTATTTGGATGACATCTTAATTTTCTCTCCCTCACTGGAGGTTCATCGAAATCACGTAATGCGGGTGTTGGAACGTTTACGCCAACATGGGCTATATGCCAAGGCAGAAAAATGCTGTTTCGAACAGCGTAAAATCACGTTCCTGGGACTGGTTCTCTCTCCCGCGGGGGTCGCGATGGATCCTCAGAAGGTCACGGCGATCTTAGATTGGCGAATACCCACCGATAAGAAGGGCGAACAGCGTTTCATCGGGTTCTCGAACTTTTATAGAAAGTTTATCAGGAACTTCTCCGGTCTGGTCTCCCCAATCACGCAACTGACTAAACAAGGGATCCGCATTAAGTGGACTCACGAAGCTCAGACTGCGTTCGAAACGCTCAAGAAATTGTTCACCTCTGCTTCCATTCTCTGCCATCCGGATTCTTCTCTCCCATACGTTTTGGAAGTGGACGCCTCCGAAAACGCGGTAGGAGCGGTCCTGTCCCAAAGGAATGGTACCAGGAGCTACTGCGTCCTGTAGCGTTCTTCTCCAGGAAGCTGACACCTGCGGAGCGAAATTATGACATCGGAGATCGGGAGCTCCTGGCTATTAAGTCTGCTCTGGAGGAGTGGAGGTATCTACTGGAAGGAGCCACACACCCAATCCTAATATTCACGGATCATAAGAACCTCGAATACTTAAGAACGGAAAAACAACTGAGACCGCGCCAGGCGAGATGGGCTCTTTTCTCGGTTTGTCTTTCACATAACGTACTGACCTGGCTCTAAGAATACGAAACCAGACGCTCTGTCCCGCATGTTTGAGGACCCCGACGATACAGCGAAACCTGACACGATCTTGCCTTCCGGGAGCTTCCTCATTCTTCAAACGGAACTTCGCTCCAGACTTATCGACGCTTCCGTAGGATTGCCAGCCCCGCCTGGGTCGCCCCTCCAGAATCGCGAGGGTCTGCTTTGGAAGGAAGATCGGATCGTAGTACCGGAAGGAGTCCAAACTTTGGTCCTGGGCCACTGCCACGACCATCCGATGGCGGGCCATTTCAGGATTATGAAAACTCTGGAACTACTGCAGCGCTCGTTCTGGTGGCCAAACATGATCAAGGACTGCGAGCGCTACGTCCAGACCTGTCCTACCTGCCAAAGGAATAAGCCCTCCAGAAACAGGGCCTGGGGATTGTTGCGTCCGTTGCCAATACCCAAACGGGCCTGGCAAATGATAGCCATGGATTTCAGTCGAACTCCCACCATCTCAAGGCTACACTGCAATAATGGTGATCGTAGATCGCTTTTCGAAGATGGCCCATTTTGTGCCCCTGGAAAAGGACACCATCGGCGCCGGAGACTACACGGATTTTCATTAAAGAAGTAGTAAGGCTACATGGGGTTCCCGAGGATATAGTGTCGGATCGGGGAGTCCAGTTCACATCAAGGTTCTGGAAAGCCTTATGTGAAGCGTTGGGAATCAAGCTGTCTCTTTCATCCGCTTACCATCCCCAGACCAACGGGCAAACGGAAAGGACTAACCAAACGTTAGAACAGTACCTAAGATGCCACACGTCCTACCTTCAGGACGACTGGCTAACACTGTTGCCTTCCGCGGAATTTGCCTACAACAACTCGAACCACTCAGCTACGGGACAATCCCCGTTCTTTACCAATTATGGATTTCATCCTAAATTTCTTCTTGATCTGATGCCCGAAAATCCGGTACCTGCATCTCAAGATGGCTGACAGGAATTCGTGCATGCGCAGTGGGAGCCGCGGGCGCGCCCTGGGTGGCCAATGACAGCCAGGGACGCGTCCTGGGTGGCCAATGACAGTGCAGAGCGCGATATTTAAAGATGCCCTGCACTGTCACAGATTGCCGCAAGGTCTATCTGTGATCCTGAATTCCTAAACCTGTGATATTGACCCTGATTGTCCTGACTACGCTGCCTTCTCCTGTGTTTGACCCGGATTGCCCTGACTACTCTGCCTTCTCCTCTCCTGACCCCTGGCTTTTTTGATCTATCTGCAGACTGACTTATCCTGCTGACCCTGCGTGTGACCTGACTACTCTCTGCCTGCCGATTCTGTACCTCGCTTACCCCACAGGACCACTGCTATTGATCCATCCTGCTAGGTCCTGCCGGCCTCCTCACATCTGGCTCTCCCGGTACCTAAACATCCCCGGAGGTTCCCTCTGCCACTGGTGGGCCTGCTCAGAGGTCGTGACATGGTCCTGGTCTGTTACAAGTCCATCCCCACCATCAGGGGCCCTGGTGAAAGCACAGACCGGGACTTAGACTCCACAGCAGGATTATCCAAGAATTGTCAAGGGAACCGTCCAGCATTCCAGATAGCTCAGTGAGAAGAGACATTGCCTCTCACTGCAAAAGGACCAGGTTCGATCCCAGGCTCTGACAGTACTCCCCTCCTCACAGCACGTCCCCTGGACGTCTTAGGACCAGGCTTGTGAGGAAGTCTCTGGTGAAATTCTCTTGTCAATCTAGGAGCATGTACGTTCCCATTGGACAAGATACTGCAATTTTCCTCTAAACATCCTAGAGTCAAGAATATTCTCTACCACATCTTCTTCACCCTGTACCTCAACAGGAGGAGGAAGAATTCTTCCAGAGAAAGGATTTTCATGAAATGGTTTGAAAAGTGATACATGAAAAACAGGGTGAATCCTCATACTGTCAGGAAGTTTTAAGCGAAAGGTGACTGGGTTAATCTGAGCAAAAATCTGGAAAGGTCCCACAAACTTTTGGCCCAGCTTTGCAGATGGAACATGAACCTTCAGATTTTTAGTAGATAGCCAAACCTTGTCACCCACATGAAAGGTAGGAAGCGATCTGCGATGACTGTCGGCAGCCCTTTTATAACATTCCTGAGCCTCCCCCAAGGTCTCGATCAACTTCGCTTGAGTCTCCTGCAAGGTAGTTAATCTGTTGGCAACAGCAGGAATTTGAATTGTGATAGGGAGATCCGGCATAAAAACTGGATGATACCCCATATTGAGGAAAAAAGGGCTTTGGGAGGTGGAGCCATGTTTAGCATTGTTA